AACTACCTTCAGTTGGAAGAACAAAAACATACTAGGATCAATCTATGGTCCTGTTGGCTCTGGCATGTCAACGTGGAGGCACCTTCCATAGGTTCCTTCGTGCCCCGAGTGCTTGTTGGTGACATGATTGTGCATGCTGAGCCAGATGTCGATGAGCAGCTTCTTGTAGCCTCCTGCAGCCCCTGCTGACCAGCAGATGTGGTTTGTAGCCGTCTGGATCCAGATTTGCAGGTCTTGGCATACAGCCCGTTTGCTTGCTGCGGTCAGCTTCTTCACACCTAAAATTCAGAGTTGTGTCAGGGAAACCTGCAGCGTGATCACTGGAAAATGAAAGCTACAGGAATGGCCTGTTAGGAATGTTTACTTTTGGAGATGTGCAATATGTCGAAGAAGTGGTCAATCCCAGGTTCGTGCGTCTCCATGTGTCTTTGTGTGGCAGGGTGACGGTCAGTCACAAATGATCGGATCTTGATAGCTGCACCATATACTTTCCGTGGATAGCAAAAGAATAAGTGATTTAACCAATTTGAACAAAGTACCTTAAAGGCCGCCGAGTACTGATATACACGAACTATGCATGAACATATGTTTCTCCTTGAAGAAATCCAGAGGCATGAGGAGGCCCTCCTTTTCCATGTTGACACTGGCCATTCAAACTAGAAACAGGTGTGAAATGATTATTTTACCCAAATAGTGCATAGCTGTAAAGTAACTGATGACATAACGCAAGAAAAAGATTACGAGATTGTTGCAACTGGTTCACCTAAATCCGACTACTTACCTCTCTTAGCTGGACCTGGACAGAGTGGAAAATCTTGTTGATCTGCTCGACATGGACTGTGTACGGCAGGTACTTGGCAAAGAACCCAGGGGAGTCAAATCTCCCGTCAGCAGAGATGTCCACCTCTTTGTTCTCCAACTCGTTGAGAAGTTCCTGTATCTCTTGCGGCCAGACCTGTTCATGCAGATGAATACTGCTTCAGAAAGGCATGGAGCGTACTACAATAGTCCCATCTGTTCCTGTATGCAGTGTAGTGTTGTAGAATGAACGACTAAGTGAAAGAAAAAGGAAAGCGCAATTCAGCGTGTTTGAATGTGACTTAGATTGTGCTAGGTTGCGATTTGTGTTTTTACGTTTGCGTATTTCATAAAAGAGGCAGCCGGCCACCCGTTACCTTGGAGCTGCCCTACCCTTTCCGCGCTACCAGCCACCCTCTGTTTCTTGACTGTCACGGGGAACCCGACTCACTCAACCCGATGCCAGACAGTGAAGTGCCCCAGGATATTACACATTGCAGTAATAAATTAAAGTATCATGGATTTAGTAGCCCATCGCACATATTTAGCATGATGAATGACATTTTATCTCTTTGAACTATACCATTGAATGCGCATACTAAATTAATATATTTATTCATTTAATCGAAGTGTGACTGGAGCTCCAGTTTTGTAGCTTAATCGAAAGTTGGGTGTATGGAAAAGAAAGTGCAGCTGTATTGTCCTTCCGGGATATCGCTCACCTTGTGGGCTGCAGGTAGAGCGAAGGCTTTCCGATGCTCATAGAAGCTCGGGTCGGAGATGACCTGCACGTTCATATGGCGTAGCATCCACAGCGTAGGGGAAATCTCTCCAGAGAAGACTAGGTGGCTGGTCAGCAGTATGTTCCCTGCTGGTCCGCCGTTGACGACGGGCTGGCTTTTCCATGTGCGCACGTGCTCCACAGTGCAGATGGTGTAGACTGTGGTCAGTGTACCGTCAGTTTGGACCCTGGTTGGGCAGAGTCTTGAACACGCTTGGCACGTCTTGAAAAGCTCCCTCAGGCAGCTCTTGAACACCAGCAACTGGCACTCTTCTTCTAGTGACGGTGGTGGAACCGATGCACCATGCTAGATTCTGAAATGGGATCATGTGAAACATTCTTTGCAGATTCTATGTGTTTATATGCACAACTTACATCTCAAAATCCTCGCTGCGAGACGCAGAGTAGGTTGCGTCAGTCTGGCATGTCGCTGGGAACAGGAAATGTGCATTAATATGGCACCCCACTTGTACAAGTGGAGAAGGCTAACTCATGTGGATGCGACGGTGCAGGCACATCTGCGACAGGGACAGCTGGCACTACTGCAGGAATATTTGTCTCAGCAGAACAGTCCCTGAGGGTCATTTCTACCTCGCAGGGTCCAGGCAGTTTGGTTGCCGAGGCCTGGGTCTGCAAAGGGCACTGTTTATTACACATTTCATATTTTTAAGCTTTAAAGGTGCAACTCGAGCACTCCAAACAATGTCATCACCATGCCAAACATCCATGAATTGTTTTGCAGCTCTTAAATAGCTTAGAATTTCTTGCACTCAATAAAAGTTCACGCTGTAATATAAATGTAAGGGATGCCTTACTCTTTATATTTGTTTTTATAACTTACAGTACCATCTATATGTTCGGACTCTAGTTCAGAAAGCATAAATGTTCATGTCGCGATATGATGCCACATTACATACATATGTGAAGCTGCACCTTGACCTGTATTTACCAACCACTCAAGGAAATGCAACAAACGGGTGCTCATAGCCGCAAGTAGGAAACATACAGCAACCGCTAAGGGTTTTCAACGTCTAGAAGTGCCACTAAGCAACAAAATTATGGAGTCCATTTGCTTTATGCATATAAAACTGCAAACGCGGGTTTGAACGCAGTCGTCGGTGCAGGATTGTAAGAAAAAAAAAACTGAGTTTGCTCACAAGAGTCGATATAAAAGAAAACCTGCTTGTTAATAGTCACGGACAATTGGAGCTTCGCTAAGCTGATACGAACGGGTTTGTGTCTGTAAACAAGCTGGGAAAATGTTTACTGAATTCGAGTGGGTCAATAGTAGAGAAAGGTGGTTTTGTTTGTGTTTTATTTTTACAAATTGGGGTTCGATCCTGGTGGCGCATGCTGATATGGTTCGTCGTTTTCGGGTAAAACCCGATATTACCCGATTTTTATCCCCCGAACAGTTCTGATGAAAATCAGGTTACACCCGATTTTCCCCAAAAAGCCGTGTTGAAATCACGTGACTTGATAGAAAAAAGGAGCCATTCGGGATCTGTTTATAAGGTGTTTCCTTCGTCATTCGTTGATGGTCTTCGATTTGCGTGATTTCCGCATAGATTCGCTTCAGAACCGATCAAAAGATACAAACATCCTATGCCTATATAATATATTTTGTTTAGTTTTGTTTATCTAAGTAACATATTGCACGTCTTTGTACTTGATCAATAAAACACCCCAAAAATCCGAATTTCGGAATGGTTTCTGGAAAAACACGATTTCCCCCCGATTATCGCCCTGAAAAATAGCACCCGATTTTTACCCCCCGATTTTCGAAAAATGTAAAACCCGAAATTGAAGAACCCCATACACGCACCATTTTCGCGATAAGCTCTCGAACCGCTAGTCCGGAGCATTACGCACCAATGATCGACTTGACAAATGTTACACAAGTGCCTCCTCAGCTCTAAGCTCAGAAATTAGAGACCAGAAGCAGCCACACTGCGCAACGCAGAATTGAATGTTCATGACACTCCCAAAAATATTTGAGTCATCGAAGAACTCTTTAGAACTTTTTGGCGCTTTGGCGGAGGATCCTTGGTCTCATCGACGACGGAAAGCAGAAGCGTCGGCAAAGCACCAGATCGAAGACATGAACGACCCTAGTCTTCCTTTCGGAAAGCACTCGGCTCGAAAAGTTGGGCACATAAACGGGAAATCAGAGGCATGTTGTCGATGTCGTGCCCTCGCAGCGTGACCACGCAGTTCTTCGTGGTTCTATCTCCGGCAAAGGGAAGAATCGCAGGCCCTTGCGAACGTTCTTCCCTGTTTGATGGTGGCACGTCTTGACGAAACAATTGTTCGGCATTTCAGGGAAATCGCTCACTCAGAGTATGAAAGAAACTACTGCAATACGCGGTCGTATTCCACAGATGACAAGGAAAAGTTTGACTCGTTGACGTGGAAGGATCGCAAAGCTGGCTTCGGATTAGGGATCCACGGGAGGAAGGAACAGGTGTCCCGCAAACACACGCCTGCACACGCCCCGGGAAGCAGACGTGCCGACGCATCACGCCCTAGCAACGAGCTTGCGGGGAGAAAACATAGTTCGCTGGATTTGGAACGATAATCGGGAACTTTGTTTTCAGCACCACAATCATTTTACGTTTCTCTCATACTCTATTTTACAGCAACCTTAAATATGTCGCAATAATAACGTTCGCATTCACGCGAGATGCAGCATTTCTATTGGTCAAGTTTTAGCGATGGGCAGGGTATGTGGAATTGTCTTCCATGAAAAAACAGTCCCGATATATTTCTACTGCCATCTGCTTACTAAACGGTTTTGTAATCTAAAACTTTGTGTACATACTAACTTGCACCTACTACGCAATATAAAAACATAAGCAGACAATGTCAGAAAGCCTCCGGAGGGCCCCCCTTTTAAAAGTTCAGGTTTTGCCGCGGCGATAGCTACGCCATAAAGCGTACACCCCAGGACGAGTTCTACTCAGCTTGGCGTGAATATGGGCATTTTAGAGGGCAGCTCATAGGCGCCCGTTTCCGGCTTGAGCGGCGTCGCCGCTCAAGCCGCGAACGGGTGCCACTGGCAGCGTTGGAGTAACCGCGCGTTGCATTATGGGACGTTTTCCCGAATGATGTCTCATGTGATGTCAGGTGTGACGTCACGAGTGAGTAGGAAGAGGAGGATTGAATATTTTCCGCTAAACGTAGCGGAAAAAATTGCCCGCTTTAGCGAAAAAATTTCCCGCTAAATCCAGTGGGAAATTGTTTTTCCCTGAATTCTGCTGGAAATGCAGCAAAAACTTCCCATTAAATTGGGGGGGGGGGGGGGGAGCACGAGAGGAGGTGGGGCATACTCTCTCCTCTGTACACTCCCCTCCTCCTCCTCAAGAGCTGCGCTCTAATTTTGCATTACAAGGAGTAGTAAACGGTTGTAAACTTGTTTTCCCATAATAAAGTGTGCGGAGTCCGAGGAGCTGCTGCCAGCGGCAGTGTTCAGGGTGGCACCGCACAAATCGTGGGTGGGACGGCCGCCACACCGCTCGAGTTCCCCTGGCAGATCTCCCTCCACCTCATCCGGCTCCCGAACACAGATATGGGCCACATCTGCGGCGGTTCCATCATCAACAAGCAATACGTCGACACGGCGGCTCACTGCATCCTACAGTAAGTCGTCCGCTTTATTGAACAGGATTTCAGACAAATTCAAATAACTTTGCTTTCAGCTGAAATGGGACTCAGCTCACGTCCTTTTGGCTGCTAACTGGAGCATGCTTACAAAATCCGCCTGGTCCGGGATTCGATCTCGGGGCCTCTCCAAGGTTAACGCTCTACCAACTGAGCTTACCATGAGTTGGCATGTCAGTGGAGCAAACGGGTGTTAACGGTTTCCACCAGTCTTGATCATACTGCTAGAGTGAGATCAGTCGTGAATAATTTGACATCATGAGATTCGGGAAAAGTCCCCAAGGTGGGGAATATTTACACACTCGTATGTCAACGTGCCCGGGAAAGGCGGATTTCTTCAGCTGTGACCAGTCGCTTAGGGGGTGCGGGCTGCGCTCCATTTCAGGTGTAAGACAATTCCATTCTCACTTAAATCTTTTCCCCTTTTGGGAGTTTCCATAAGCCCCAGTATGTTAAAACGCCTACCTTTTCGCAAAGCACTTGAGAGGGTCGATCACCACAATAAATGGAGGGAGGTATTTAAAGCTATTTGTAGGCCTGAAAAAGTGATTCTGCATCGACACTGCACATGCTCTAACTCCACGCTCAGTATCAGAACGCACACTGTTTTTCTTTATTTTTTTGTTTAAACATAATTTAAATTTCTTCATTCACCGAGCTCCCTCTCTAGATTGCGGCGATTAGGAAGTTTTCGTATACCATTTTTCGCACAGCGCTACGCCCTCCGCGACGGAGACGCCGCCATCGCGCATGCGCGTCGCTAGCCTCGCCTGCAGAGTTCTGGATCTCGTAGCAGGTAGCGGAAAGCGTTGCGGGACGGCGGAGAGAATGTACGAAAACTCCCTAGTGACTCACCCATGTGCGTCGCGGGAACGTAGATGCTCAAGATTTCTCAGTGCGCAGTATAATCATCCTTTGAGAAGTCGAATTTTTGTATTATTCTTTTCCTTGTGTTCGAGAGTGCTAGAATATTTCTTGACCCAACATTTGAACCTTGACAACAGCTGCCTATTTTGTGTGTGAAATCAAAAAAAGGAATGAAGATAGAGTAATCGTTACTCCAGCCCGCTGCTCGCCCTCTCGCGGGAAGAACGAAGAACCAGAGGAGCGGGGCTCGGCGAGAGACTCGGCTTCGAGAGACGACGACTTACGAGACTTGCATGCCATCTTCTCACGAAGCCGAGCCTCGAGCCTCTCAACGAAACTGTCGTAACATAGAAAATAAACTTCCTAGCTAGTCATTCACAAAGTACGTATTTTTGACACACATTCACACGCGTGCGCACACACAAACGCACACACACGCACAAAACAAACACACACATACACACACGCACGCACATACAAACACGCAGTCTCTCTCTCTCGCACACTCAAAAACACACAAATGAACCGTACTTGATCGTGTGAATCAAAGTTTTACCAAACCATTGAAAGTCAAAATCAACGGCGTACGATGATGAGAAAGCGGCAGTGATATACGAGACTTAACTGAGTTACGAACCTTCAAACACCGAGTTACTTCATACTTCAAACGACACTTAAGAAACTGAGTTGAGGAACTGAGCTACGACACATCCAAATCGTATAAAAACGTTTATGAATAAATATTAAAAAAAAGTGAGAGTACTAATAAGAAAGAAGCGTTAATACAAACCACACGAATACTTCATCTATTCAATTCAAGAATTAAAACGGGACTTGGGTGCACTACAGGTCAAGAAACTTGTAATGCGTAGGGCCATGTCTTTAAAAATACAAAAACTTGCACTTTTTTTTTATTGTGTGTTCAGTTTTGAAAAATGCATGTCACATTTTGCACTAAGACACTGATAAAGAATAGACCATTTATTTGCAAAAAATAACGAAATACGTGGCCGGCACCCAGACGGGATATTTTCTCCGCAAACAGGAGCGTTACCACGGCTGCCACGGGTATTATGGTTGGGGTCGCGATAAGAGAAGTCAGTATATTGCCGCGCGTAGGGTCACGGACTTGTAGAAGGCTCTCGTTTATTCTTGCTTCGGACATAACTTCTATCGTTTATCCCTGGTTTTGTTGTTCTAGATAGTGCGTGTTCATAATCGCCCCGAGCGCGCTACGCTCGAACCTTCTCCGCCGGATCTTAGAGAAAGTGACTCACCTTAGATTAGAGGCCGCCCGCGACCTTGTCGAGTCAGTTTTCGCCCCAGTGTTCGACTCTGCTCTTTCGCCGACTTCGACGCTCGAGACGCTTTGCTGTTATTTTTCTTTCTCCTTTTATTTTTGTGCACAAGTTCGCCCCATTAAACGTTTCAATTCTTTCAGATATCAGCTTTCTTTCACTTGTCATTCGTGACAATATTTCATTTTGGTAGAAATGTGGAAACCTATCGAACTTCCACAGCACACTGGAACTTTTCGGCTCTTGATTAGTTTTTTTTTTGTATTTCAGCGGCTACAAGTCTCCGTCAAACTATATTGTTGTGATTGGCGACCAAAACCTCAACGTGGTAGATCCCTACGAGCAAAGAATCGCAGTGGCGAACGTAAGAACTCGAATTCTCTGTTCCTTTCATGCTCAGCTCTAGTCAACTTTGGAATACCAAAGAAAAATCACCCAGGTTAAACCGAGAATTCTGGCAAAATTTAAAAGTCCAAACATTGCGGGCATCTTCCAGCTCCGATTCCCACAAACCCTGTCTCCGGATGAATATGACACTTCAATACTTCGCTCTCGGCAAAAGGGTTTATTCACTCACTCATTGCCTTGGGGGATTTCGGGATCGGGGGACGGTCATCAGCGAGGCCGGGGGAGAGCCCGCTGCCACAGCAGCTTCTCCGAGTCCCAGCGGTGGTCGTCCACACCGCGTCATGGGGACGTCGTCGTCCAGAGTCGCTGTCCGGTCCGTTTGTCGAGTCCGCCACTCGACGTAGTGCCCGCACTCCCTGAGCCAGCGTCCAGCGCCGTCCGAGCTCGCCTCCATGACCGGTTCCTTGTCTAGTCGGCAGCCCAAGCCCCCTTCCTTTGTCTCCGTTCCCCTCTTAAGACCTTCCCAAGTCCTTGTCCCGCCGACCGTCCAATCGGGAACCTTGCTGCGAGCCGACCCTCCGACGTCAGCGCTGGGTGAGGGGGCGCTTGCCCCGTTCCTCCCGGAGAGCTCGGACGTTCCGCGACAGGACGGCGACAGGAAACGGGAAGGTCACGGGGAACGAAGGAGCGCCCGACAGAAGGGCGGCGGGGACCGGCAAGGTCACGGAGAGCGGAGGAGCCAGGGAGAGGGTCTCACACCTCCCCTCCCTCAAGGCTCGGACCCCGGGGGGCCTGAGGTTTCGTGGTCCCCAGGACCCTGGGCAGGGAGCTCGTTCAGCTGAGTGTCGCCGATGACGACGAGCACCCTCGATGATGACGATGGCATCAAACCAAGCAGGTCAGCGGTGAACGTTGATTCACTGGGAAGCTCGTGACCGACGGAGCACGGTCCACGAACTGGTCCGGAGCACCACAGCTCACAACACGGACGGGCACTCAGGCACACACAACACGCCGGCACTTAAAGTTCGCTTCCGCCCCTAATGTAACAGACAGCGAATCGCGCAAAAACGAATAGCGGCACGCTATATCAGACAGCGAGACGAAACCAAAATCCTTCGATCGCTGGACATGCCACGAAATAAAAACAAAACTTTTCATTTCAATACTAACCGGCAGGCAATCATCAAGAACGTCAAGCTACACGTTCAAGAGGTACATAAGAGGAAAACCATTCCTTAACTAAAAAGTATGAGCACTCAATGCATACTTATATCGTACATACGCCCACTATACAACATTTGCTCCTATGAAACTCAACCGCATTCTTTTAAAACAGTAAGCAATTTACCAGAGCGTCAGAGCCGCACACCTCTGACAACACTATTAATCTCCAACACACTCGCGAAGAACGCACAAAACCTCAAAAACTAAGAATAACCTTCCGTAAAACAGAAACGGTCACAAATCCAGTCCCGTTCGCGAGGCGCGACTCGAAAAAACACGCTGCCAACAACCCATGATGGACACTCATGCACTCGGCGTTCACGCTACCCGAGCTACAAACACGCTACAGCCACGCTATACGCAGCACGCCTTCATCAGAAGGGGTAATCACCTTACTGAGAGGCCGTTGTTCCGTGGTACCGGCCACTTACACCAGTACAAAGGGAACAGTACCTGGATCGTGCGAACAGCAGATCTCATTGGACAGCCTATTTACAAAGCTATGTCCGTAACGTCTGGGCATGTACCAGACGTTACAGCTTCACCGCTCGGAGGTGACCACCCAACGGGAGCGATGAGCGCGTAACGGCGGTCCGCACCGAACCCCGCACGGGCTCGACAACCGCGACAAGCGCATCGACGCACGTTAGACTTCTCCGCCGGCCAAACCCCGACACCGCATAACTAAAAAGTCTTCCAGCTGATATCAAGGCCGGCCGGGATCGAGCAATAAAGGTACGCCGTCAACGCGTCTCGCGACTCTTCAACGTTCTCGAATCGAGCAACGTGTCCACATACAAACGCAGTAGGTTACGCACAAAGCTCGCCCCCAGCCAAGTCAACACGCCGCATGACTGAAAAGTCTTCTTGCGACTGTGAGGACAGGCAGGGTTTGAACAATGTAAGTATCCCACACGCGCACCTTTCAACTTCCGCGCAACGAGCGCGATACCAAAATGCCAAATAATCTAACCGGCCAGTCTTGGAGATGGACGAGCTAATAAACTATATTTGCTCTGCATAAACAGTTTCCGCAGCGTCGAAGTGTCTACAGCATTTACCGCCGCATTCCAACACCCGCTACCCATTCATGCAAAGGCTGCAGTTAGTACAGCGACGGGCCAACCCAACGCACAACAGTTATAGGCCGCCGACGGCCATGCCGCTGCCATAATTTCTAGGCTTCCCGGGCACGTACCCGCCGACGTGAACCGTACGTTTTCCCGGGCCAACCGCGCATCTGTACAGGATAAAACTATGAGCAACTCGTCACATCATCGCAAGACCGCCACTCCCCTCGTGCAGGTTTTCACTGCACGAGCCCAGCTCTTTCCTCACCTAGCTGTCTTTTCTCCCCTAAATTTATAATTTCACTCCAGCCCAGGTCTTTGCACGATACGCTCTCTACGCCCTCGCGTCCCAACGCGAACCAAAGCACGGCTGAGAACCGTATCCGGCGGCAGCGCAAAGCGCGCGCTGGCCGCCGCTCCTCCGGAAACGGAGAAAACGAAATAAAAGAGTAACTCCCGCCGCGAGGCTCAACCTTCGATATGGCGGTGTGAGGATCCGGAACCCACTGTGCGCACAATTAAACGGAATCAACCTCACGACTCTACAACCAGATACGCACGGGTCATGCCCATCGCGTCAGACTGGACTCCACGGAGCATTACACACGCACAGCCACTGATAAAGTGAAAACGGAAACTCGGTGGTTTTCGGGATTCCGATGTCCACGCACTGGACATCGCGTATCCGGCACAATTTAGTGGGCTCAGCCCCTAAATGTAGCCTCTGGCCACAAGGTACTCGTTCAAAGCGATCTTGGTCGGAACCACAAGAGCGCATCCGTACCTTAAAACGCTGTCAACTAACGACGCTCAAAACCGCGCCGACAGCTCAAGCAAGGCCAAATGGGAGCTAGCACGCCATCAAACCGAGACGCTAGTCTCCTCCCGGAAAAAATGCAATGCGGGAATAATTTCCAAACACAGTCCATGCAACCGCAATCCGCAATGGGAGCGTTGTCCACCCAGAGCGATGCCTCTTTAACGCGTCCGATCCGTAACAAGCGTTACAAACCATTACATCGATACGCGAACAAAGGCGGTTAGGCGCGTCACTTCTCCCAAACCGTGAGCCGGCATCTTTCCCAGCAGACGTGGACGGCCGGAGGCGTAGGTGGGGGGACGCCCGACGCTACAGGCCTCGAGGGGTGCGGTATTTTCGACGCACAGAGCGCTCTTGCTCAGCAGGATCAACCTGCCAGCATCCAACGGTGCCCTGAACAGTGAATACTCGAGGCGCTTATCGTAACGGGGGATAAGTAAATTCCTGACGTGCTGGGACAAAGGGTTAATCCCTAAAGACAACGGTCAAGGTCCGCGCCTCCTCGTCAGGCAGGCGATAATGTCAGGGCCTCCGTGCGGCGCTCCCGCAACGAAACTTCGTGCGGCGCTCCCGCGACAAAGATGACCCCCAAAAAGAGCGCGAAACAGTGCCCTAATTCAACCGGAAGCAGGTTGGGAATCGAAATGCCTGCCTGATCGAAAATCAGGAACCACGTTGGGCGCCAGTTTATGCGGGCACCTTCCAGCTCCGATTCCCACAGACCCTGTCTCCGGATGAATATGACACTGCAATACTTCGCTCTCGGCAAAAGGGTTTATTCACTCACTCATTGCCTTGGGGGATTTCGGGATCGGGGGACGGTCATCAGCGAGGCCGGGGGAGAGCCCGCTGCCACAGCAGCTTCTCCGAGTCCCAGCGGTGGTCGTCCACACCGCGTCATGGAGACGTCGTCGTCCAGGGTCGCTGTCCGGTCCGTTTGTCGAGTCCGCCACTCGACGTAGTGCCCGCACTCCCTGCGCCAGTGTCCAGCGCCGTCCGAGCTCGCCTCCATGACCGGTCCCTTGTCTAGTCGGCAGCCCAAGCCCCCTTCCTTTGTCTCCGTTCCCCTCTTAAGACCTTCCCAAGTCCTTGTCCCGCCGTCCGTCCAATCGGGAACCTTGCTGCGAGCCGACCCTCCGACGTCAGCGCTGGGTGAGGGGGCGCTTGCCCCGTTCCTCCCGGAGAGCTCGGACGTTCCGCGACAGGACGGCGACAGGGAACGGGAAGGTCACGGGGAACGAAGGAGCGCCCGACAGAACGGCGGCGGGGACCGGCAAGGTCACGGAGAGCGGAGGAGCCAGGGAGAGGGTCCCCACAACATACAACTTCAAGATTTATGGTTCGTAGCTCACATAGATTTCTTTCTGTTAGAGCGATGCAGGCCTCTATATATCCAAGAGAATGGGGGCGCTGCCAAGCACAATGAGCCAAAACACGTAATCGCAAGTGATAAGGTTGTACGCCCTTCTTCAAGTAATAGACGCGAAAGACGGCAGGGAACAGGCAAGGGTCGTACACGACACAAAAATAGGGGTAGGTACATTGGCCGAGAGGGAGGGGAAGGCGAAACCGTTTAGAAGACGGAGTACAACTTCTTCGCCTGTCATCCAACGCAGTTAAAAAATATGCAAAGCAAAAGCCGGGGCGCGTAAGTGCCACTGGATCTCGAACTCGCCTTGCGGCGCCTTCCGCAAGGACAAGACACCCAGAATGGTCCTCGGGGGTCCCCAGCCGCCACAACCACTACCACAGTGGTTACGACGGGCGGACGCGGGGTTCGGATCGGTTCGAGGAAGCCCACCAACCCAGGTGTCGGGTGACACGCGTTAACTACGGCGTCGTTTGTCTCAAAAAGATTCAGAAAGATTACAGTTCTGTAAACAGCAGTAGGGACAATTT